TAAAATTCCCCACGGTTAGTATTACCGTTTCATCTTTTAATTATCATTAAAACCGTATTAGATTACCGCGATTTGAACAACTCACGATAAATAAATACTGTCCAGCATAAAGCACAGTTTTCATTAACAGTCTCACGTGCGCACAGCACGCAGAGTAGTTTCGTTTTGAGTGAAAACAGGGCGGAAAAGCTGGAAGGATTTAAAAGAGTGCTAAGGGAATTTTACAAATGAATATATGAATTAATTATATGAATGTACCACTGAAGGTTCTGACTGTCTTCAGAAACGATTCGATGGCATTTTGTTTTCATCTTCGCTCCATGTAATACCTAAAGGAAGTTTTCTTAATCGCAATACTATAGGGACAATTCTCACTATTAACTAGTTGCTTATTATTAACATATTGGCTGTTTATTAGTACTTATAAAGCACATATTCTGCATGACCATATTCTACTACACAATACCTAAACTTAACAACTACCTTACTATCTGTTAATAAGCAGCAAATGAAGAGGCAAAAGTTGTAGTTAATAGTTTGTTAATAGCGAGAATTTGACCTTAAAATAAAGTGAGACCAAAAGTTTTATTTGGCTAACGTTCTCTGAAAGTTACAAACGTTTGAAGAATGTTTGTATAAAGTTTTCTGAGTTAGCACAAAAACGTTATTTAAGCCGTTCGTGGAATGTTTTTGTAACATTTTAGCTGGACATTCATCGAATGTTTAAATGTTTTTAAAATGTTACGTTTTTAAATGTAACTACTTGTTTCAGAATGTTCAGAGAACATTCAAAAGTAACATTCCCAAAAGTATTTATTAATTACTATTAATTAAATAAAAATGAATTATTATTGTAAATGTATCATTATTGTTTTATTTTTCTCTCTTTTTGAATATTGGTAAGTTTTGTACAACGAGGAACACTCTAGCCACTCCCATTGATTAACCAGCTGTCTTTGATTGCTTACTAATTGTTTAAGAATAATTGATGTGTGTCCTGAAGCTGAAACGCGTACTCGAATGATTTAGCCCAGTTAATTAAAGGCTTTTTATTTTTACTACACCAGTGCTTTGGAGTATTTCATCTTCTCAGTGTAACGTTCCCGAAATGTTTTTGAAATGTTTAGAACGTTCCAAAATAACTTAAATGGAACATTAGCACAGTGTTCTTTGAACATATTTTCGTTAGGTGGGTAATATTACCCAATCATTCATAAGGAATTACTAATTACTTGGAAAAGCATGATAACTCCCTAGTAAAGACTGAAATCATTGTAAGCTTTTGAGGTTTTGGATGGACGATAATTCCTTCTGACAGATTTAGTAGCACTAATTTATAGTGGGTTACTATGAACCTCGCCTTTAAGAAAAGTCTGTAAAAGCAGAGTTTTCCATATTGATTTTTCTCTGGTGTTGTATCCCTATTTTGAATTATGCATTGCATTGTTGTTTTATGATTAAAGGAATGTCTGTAAATGTTATCGGATAATGTCCTGGCAGAAAATAACCAGTGCCTTTTCTGTTTTTCTGTGCTTTTTTGTTTCTTACAGTGTAGAATACAGTTCCAAATGGCTAGTAATTCCTTTAGAAGCATGTAGTAACTAACACTTATGTCATTACTAGTGGGCTACCATGATACAAGATTAATGAAAACCTAATCCTACAGAATCTTCTAATCATCCATAATAGTGTAGAGAAACACTGAGAAATTATATATTTCTTGGAGGTATGTTAAATAAATAAATCGCTGCAAGGGTTGCAACTGTTTTGGCATTTGGGATGGCGGAAGACTCCACATGTTCCTGAGGTCTCCATGAATCAACAGCGATTCAGTGAGAAAATGTCCTAGTCTTCTCCTGCAGTAATAACCTAAATAATAATAGGCCAACAAAAAAGGTAAAGCTCAGAGGGATACTGGGGAAAAAGCTCCAGAAAACGGCATTTAGAAACCATTTCTTCAGAATTATCCATAGTTAGTAAATACTTCTCTAGTATGAAAGATAACATTGACTACTAGGTAAAAATTATTTGCCCAAATCATAAGTCGGCTATTACGTATTGATTATGTAAACAATTGTGTACAGGGAATTCATTGACAGGTTAAAATAGTTACGTGTCCTGCATTAGATTAGTTGTGCATTAATTATTAAAGTGCATGTAGTTCCGGTTACAGTACAACTATACATTTAAGTACTGAGTATTATTTAACAAGCACTTACTAAGGTTTAGGTTTATGCATGTAATTATGTATAGCTAATTTACTGTTATTACTGCGTGTAACGTGTAACAAGAACACTGTAAAGCTTTACCTAATATCTTAGTAGCTCTCAGGAAGGCATGGAAACCTGCATTCAACTATTAATTCGTTCATCTGTTTCTTGTTAGTTAAACAGAAGTTAGGCAACTAGAATGACAACTGTTTCAACCAATCAGAATCAGAATGAGCTTTATTGCCAGATATGTTTACACATATCGAGGGGTTTGAATTAGAATTTTGACACCAATGTGTCAAGTTTCTTTACAATATCGGGACAAGAAAAAAAAAGCCAAGAGATGTGCTCTGTCCAGTTTAAATCGCAATATTATTAATAATAGGCCTATATATATTACATATAACTCTCAAAATCACATTTTACCCGAGATGCATTGGATTTTTTTCCCCTTCTCCAATGCCAACTCCTAAATTGCTTTAAAAATGAATGTAAAAAATACTTAGAATCTTTAAAACACTTGTCCAAAGATAATCAATCCCTTGGGGAACTGTATATAACCATGAATGAGTCTCTTTCCTTTTAAGACTGGTAAGATTTTTTACCCTTTTTATTTTTTTCCTCCTTGCAACCCCCTCAAATGTTTGTTTTGTTTGTTGTTATTGTATATATATATATATATATATATACACACATGGACATTTATGTATGATGGAGATGTGATTGGTAAAGTCTATATTTTGTATAGTGCATTTTATTGTTCTGCATTTGAGTGTGTAAATTGATAGTTCAATAATAAAATAAACCACAATAGGAAGGACACTTACTTGTTTCGTTGTCTCGAAGCAGAGCTGGAATAAGGACTGCCCTGGAACAGACTATACCTCGACGGAGTGCCATCAGTCAAAGGAAAGGTCATGAGAATAATAAATATAAGCGCTGCGTAACCTGCGAGGAAGCGCTTCATCTCTAATCACCCAACCAGAGTCAGCGTCCACCTTATCCGAGCTTTTATAAAAAGCTCGCACAGAGTGTTTTTTTAAAGTTTCTTGACAGGGTGATGATGGGACAGTGGCAAGAGTCTGCGAGAGCCCCCGCCCCAATGAGCGCTTCCTACTGGACGCTGCGCGCGGGATCAGGTTCCCAACTCCATTAGTGCTCTCCACGGATTATTACACTCTGCTTTAGACGTGCTTATAGTTACGCCATTTCTTTAAAAAGAATGCCATCTTTTAAGAATCTCGTCAAAAAAAAAAAACCCTAAGAATATTAACCCCTTAAGTGTCATTAATCATTTCAAAATATGAAAGTATCAAAAAGTTATAGGTTTAAATTTACTGTAAAGCAAATGCACTGTACCAATTTTTATTTTATATAAAATATTTTACAAAATATTTTAAATACAAAATTGCTATTGAATTAAAGCTTTATGTCTAAATAAGTTATGTTCCAAATTTGAAGTTGATATAAAAAAACAGAAATTTTATTTAGAGCGTTATACCACAAACAGCCACCGGGTGCCATCCCGGCAAAATTGCCATTTTGCAATTTTCTGTCACAAATGTCTAAATTTCTCTGTCAGTATTACTTCTATCACAAAATAACCACCAAATATGGAATCTTGAGATTTCTGACGATTGTATTTTGTCAAGATTATAAAAAGTTTTGATTCTAAAAGACTGTAATATGATACTTGACTCCACCCACTAAGGGGGAGGAGTACCATTTCCATGGTAACGCAATGTCCGATTTCAAAACGGTTTTCACAAGATACATTTTTGAGGTTCTAAGCTTTTAAATGAAATGTAATTTATGATGATTACTCAAATATGTGATAGAGAAAAAAGAGCACCAAGCGGCCCACAGGTGAGCCGGTGACACTTAATGGGGTTAAAGAACCAATCCTTGTAACCCTTTAGTTTAGGGACCCATTCTCACTATTAGTTGCTTATTACCATGCAAATTAGTAGCATACTGGCTGTTAATTATTACTTATTATAAAGCAGATATCAATGCCTTATTCTGTATGACTATATTCTAGATCCCTTAATCCTACCCCATACCTAAACTACCTTAGTACTAATAAAGCAGTAATAGGAGTCTATTGAGGCGAAAGTCATAGCTAATAGTTTGTTAATAGTGAGAGTTGGTCCCCAAACTTAAGTGTGACCCCAATCCTAAATGGCCCAAATGGAAATTTTCTTGAAGCACTTCGATTACAAAATAACATTATTATTTTGACATTATTACAATACAAATAGATTTTCTTGAGTCAAAATATCCTTTAGAAATGCAAGCTTATATCGAGGGCATCTTATTAAAGCAATATTTTTAAAATCCCATTATGACTGGTTTCAAATCATGAGCGATTCTATCTTCTTAAGATTCTGGAGACTTCGTGAAACATTTAAGTAATTTTGAAAGAACATCTGATACAACACAGGACATTTAAGTCATCAAGTAATAGAAACCTATGCACAAATATATAGGGCTAACATTTGGTGTCGACCACTCGTTTTACGGATTAGTAATGCATATTATATAATACCCTTAAAAGCTTTACCAACACATGAAACTCTTATTATACAGCATACTATGTACTACAAAAATATGCCGAAGTTTGTGTAAAGCAAGTTACTTGACTTCAGCAAATCAAAACATTTATTTTTTACATAAATGCTTCCATATAGCACTCTATATGCCAAAGCTGCGTGAATAACATTTTTAAACGACAAAAAATTGTTTATTATAGGAACAAAAATGCACAAAAAAAATTAAGCAAAGAAGACAAAAGGACATCAGTTTGTTATGGTAATGAATAGCTGTCATGCTGAAAAATAAGTTGGATAAATTATTTCCCATATTAGATCACTATAATAGTCCACTTGAAGGAGTGAATGAAAACGATTAGTGAATTTAGACACTTGAGTGGAAAAGTGCAATCAATGTCCACTATGGTGCATATGGTTTAATGGAATATCTGTTGAAATGCTATTGTAAGCTGTATGCATCCACTACAATGTATGCGTGCAAAAACCAAAGTATACACTGAACTTTATAAACATATGATGAGAAAACAATCCCACTTGAATAGAGCTCCAGTGAAAGTGTGACTGCTGGAAGGTTTGTTGAATTAAAAAAAAAAGACAAGACCTGATGCAAGTGTAAAAACTTTTTTTTCCTCAAAGAAAGACACAAAATATATTATGGACACAGTCCAATTATTGAACTTTTTTTTTTGCTTTCTGCTTCAATCAGACAAGTCATAATCTGTAAAGAGTGAACAAAAAAAGGATTTGCAAATGAACATAAAATATTTTTTTGACACTGATTAACCTAATAAAAAAGCACTGCATCAGCTGTCAGCTCGTGCAACTTCATGAATCTGCAGAAACAAAACAACAACAAACTATTAACTTCAGTGAAAAAAGCAACAGACAAGTCAGAAAAAAACTGTGGAATAGCAAACACTTCAGAGGACTGTTGATGTACCCAGTTTGCGTGTTTTGCGCCGGGATCTTTTAGAAGGGACTGAGGGCTCGGGCGTTTCTGGCTCAAGGATCCTTTTCACTCTTACAGCGTACAGTCGTGTAGGAGTGCTGGCTGCAAACACACACAGACACAGACACACAGACACACAGAGAGACAACACACACACACACACACAGAGAGACACAGACACAGACACACAGAGACACACACACACACACACACACACAGACACACAGACACACAGACACACACACACATTTCAATTCTTGTCAGTATTCACCAATCACAGAAAGGAAACAGTTAAGAAACTTGACTATCATTCCTACTAGGGATTGTAAGATTCCCTGCTTCGCATCGGAATAAAAGTTAATGATAAGATGCATCAGATACAAGTTGGCATTTGTATCTCGATGCATCGTTTCTAACATATATGCATCCGTAAAAACCAATTTATTTATATGTAATTATAAGTAGATGCGCTATACTTATATACTTATACATATTTAGAAAGTGACCAATAATTTGTGACCAGTATTTTATATGTAGATTGATTTCTCCTCTCTAAACATTAACATTAATATGGCAGAGGTAGAGCTGCATCTTCCACCAAATAATTACAACGAACCAAAGAAATAAAAGTGAACTATCTGTACCATATTGAATTGCATAGCATATTTTTTTCTATTGCATTTTATTGCATTGAATCGAATCGAAATCGGATTGCACTGCATCGTAATGGGCTCGCATCGCATCGGAAGCTGCTTCATATCCTCCTGAGACTCTGAAAAAAAAAGCGTTGCGAATTTCGTATTTTTTCATTACATTGTTTAGAGCATAAGAAAAAAAATGGAAAAATAACATTTTTGAAAAATTATATTTTATTCATGTTATGTTATGTCCTCTGTAGAGGACACCAGGACTCAATTTTTCTAAAAAAATAAAATGACATGAATAAACATGAAAAGGCAAAAACAATAGTTTTTCCCATTAAACACAATGTTATCTATACACTGCATCTAATTTGCATATTAATGTGTGCTGTAGGGACAGCACATTGAAAAAAGAAGTGTAATAATGATACTAATAATTGCCCAGATTGTCATAATATCTAATATTTCATAGGAATATTGATATATAATTTATTTTCCTATTCAATTGTTTTGTCTCCCAAAACGCGTAACAAACAAGCTTTTAGTCCTGGTGTCCTCTACAGTGGACATGTATGATGTCCTGTTTCATAACAGAAAGTCATATTTTGATTTGAAACCCCATAACATTTTCCTGAGATGTTGATTTACGACAAACAATTTGAAAATTATCATATTTCCAATTGGATGTACAATTTTATCACTAAATTAATGTCAGCCATCTTTAAAGACCAAGGAGAGGGGAGTGTTCATGGTGAAAACTTCCAAACATTTGGCATCATTTGGTATTAACTACGACTTTTTCCTCAATAAATTCCTAATTTGCTGCTTTTTAATAGTTAGTAAGGTACTTGTTAAGTTTAGGTATTGGGTAGGATTAGGGATGTAGAATAAGGCATTAATATGTGCTTAATTACTACTAATAAATGGCTAATATTCTAGTAATATGCATGCTAATAAGCCACTAGTTCAGAGACCCTAAAATAAAGTGTTACCCAAGGTTCTTTGCAAACTGTTGCTTCACCACTCCAGTAGCTCAGCTAAAACAGAAATTTATTTCATAAAAATTCTAAATCTGTAAGAATGTGCAATTCTTGAAAAAGTTTTCAAATATTTCCTAAGAGCATCTACTTTATACCCCATAATGACTAAGCAAACAGATCTGTGATAACTTTATGCCAATCATCGAAATTCTGGTTTTGCGTTCAGAAAGTAAGCAGCTCTGCAATGCCAAAAACACATACCAAGGGTTTCCTCAAGTTCCCTTAGCTCTTGCTCTTGCTGCTGGAGGTCTTGTTGTTTCTGTTTCATCTCAGGACTCTGCAGGTGCTCCAAATGACTGTTATACTCAGACCGGACCTCAGAGGCCTTCTGCATTGCAACACAACACTGCTGCAGTAACTCTGTACACACACAATCAAACATAAAGCGACTTAAGACTGCTTTTGTGCTCCAGGGTCACAAATGTGTATTTTGGATGCTTTCTTTCGACTAGTCTGAAATAAGACATGTTATGGAAGCAAAATAGTGTTTTTTTCCTGTAGTGTCTAGTACCATAAAAGTAATCAATGCACTCCAACATATGCTGAAGCATTCAAATAACTTCACTTAAATAACCAATTAGCTTAACTGTAACTTTTACAAGAAGAGAGATCAAACACACAAAGTATCTCAGATCACTCAGAGTACAGATCTTCCAGTGCACCAAGAGATGCAGTATGTTTGTTACCCATCTGATGGCGTATGCGGTTGTACTCTTTGGGTAATGGCGCTCCAAACACTTGTCCTCGAAGTTTCTCAATGGACGGAGCCTTGTTCTGCAGTCCTCCGAACTTCCCGTTGCTGCGTATCCGCTCGCCCTGACGCGTTAAGAGCGTGGGGCACTGCATCTTATTCTGAACCACCTACCAAACATACACGTTTATATGCACGTTTGCTGTAAATACTTAAATTCTTCATCACAAACACATACACTCAGTGTCTTACCCCCCGACGATAATGATTAGCAGAATCCAAGTCATCAATTAGTATGGTGTCTCCAAGAAGACTTGCAAAAACTGAAAAAGAGTCAGAACACGTCAGTCCCCCTTGTAGTTTGAATGTCCGCCTTGATCATACTCATAAAATAATGCACTGCCAACATCTGCAGGCTGCAAAATGTTTCATGCAAAGATGATTGTTCAAGCCAAAACACACGAGTACACACACACACCATTAGCTCATTTGAATACTGCCAATATAGCCTCTGCCAGGATACTTAGCTGTGATGAAAGCTTGCAAATAATAAAATTCCATTACATCATTGTATTACATAATTTTGTGATGCATTAAATTAATAGTTCACCTGTACTAACTGAGAAAGCGTTATTATGGAATATGGACTTACAGACGGACGCAATGGTTTGAAGATTAAAACATCTTCATGATAAATTTGTTTATTAAAAACACACAGCTTTTGTCTTCTCCAGATGTTAGCTGATGGACTGGAGTGGTGTGGATTACTTGTGGATTATTGTGATGTTTTTATCAGCTGTTTGGACTCTCAATCTGACGGCACCCATTCACTTCCATTGGTGAGCAAGTGATGCAATGCTACATTTCTCCAAATCTGATGAAGAAGCAAACTCATCTAACATCTTGAATGGCCTGAAGGTGAACAAGTTTTCAGTAAATTTTTATTTTTGGGTGAAATATTCCTTTAAGCTGGCAGTATTCTGAAAAGATTTAAATACGAAAGTCCAAAGCATATACACACAACTGAATGCAAAACATACGTAACACCTTCCTCTCCCAAAATGTAACATCTTATTCCACAATGCATGTGAAGCTACTGAATGGGAATAAATCTATTAATAATAATTTGTCAATCATGGGTTATTTTCTGGAAAATTTGTTTAGAATCTATTAATGTCATGAGAATTCATAATGCTATTTTTCAGCAGTATAAGCAGGATTCAAGACTAGCACTAAATGAGAGTGGCAACTGGATCTGTTTATTAAATAATGAATTGTTATGGAGGTGCAGCAGGATATGACAGCTGTAAACACCAAATAATTTATTATAAATGACAGAATTGAGTTTTAAATTTTTACATTTGTAGTAAATGCAATTATTTGAATTATTAACAAAAAGAAAAGAATAATACAGTATAGCAAGTTAAACAGGCTACAACAACTAATAATAACTCATGAGAATGGCTGGGAGATGTCTTACATTTTTATTAATCGTATTTTCTCAAAATGGTGTTCTTGTGTGCTTTTGTGCTCTTGACTTACCTTTATTGCAGCTTTCTACGTGCTCAGGAAAAATGAGCATGTCTTTTACAAACTCAGGATTACCAATGGGACGGAAGAGAGGTGAGCCATTCCTGATGTGAGGCAGAGGCCTAAGACACATGAAAAAACATGCACAGAAAAAAAGCATACAGCTGAGACAAAATAAATGCAATAAACTACTCACCAATTGTTAATTAAAGAGGTAATTCTTAGGAAGTGATCTAGGAAACGTGGCGATATTTTTGAAGAACGCCGGTAACCAGACAGTTGCTGGTAGCCACTGACTTCCATAGTATTTTTTCCTTATAATGGAAGTCAATGGCTACCAGCAACTATTTGGTTACCGACATTCTTCAAAATAACTTCTTCTGTGTTCAACAGAAGCAAGAAACTCATAAAGGTTTGGAACAACTTGAGGGTGAGATGACGACATAATTTACATTTTTGGGTGAATTATCACTTTAAGGTTACACTCTCAGAAAAAAAAAAAGTAACCGTAAAAATTTTCAGTACATATGACGTGCAAAACAGTTAATTCTGACAGCGGAAATCAGTCAGCTATTTCCTGTGTTTGTGTGAAGAATGACAGAAGACTAAACCAAGTGCTGTAAACTGTACAACTACTTGCCATCTATAATACTTCATATATCATAGGCATTCAGCAAACATGCAGTTACATAATTTTGGAATTAATGAAAATATAGAATTTTCATTTCATTCCAAAATTATGTAACAGCATGTTTGCTGAATGCCTGGATGTTATTGATCATATTGTGAGCAAATTTATCCACGCAAATGTTTCAGTTTTTTTGACCTCGTAATTTTTTAAACAACTCAATTTTCCAGCGAAAAGACAGACCTCTCTTGTGACCGGACACTTGGGTATTTTCCCTTATATTTTCACTATTATGCAACCTTTATATTTAGAGCTTTAACAAAACAACATGATACAAAAGCGTGGGCTCTCAGTTGTTTTGCACAATGATAAACAGCTTTACAGCTCGTACCTCAGATATTCAGTAAAAAAAAACATCTGTTTGGTTTTGATTATCATGTCTATCGCGTTGAAAGTGTGCATTTTAAACCATATTAGTTTAAACTTCTGATATAGGGTTTTCTGAGCGCACACGCACAGAAAGCGTCTGTCACACGGCATGAGAGTACTAAACTAAGTTCTCTTTCGTGTCTTATTGCGCTTAAACTGTCAAATACACACAAGTTTATGTTAAAAACACACATGAGTTACAAAAACAGTGGGTTATGTCTGTGAAGGTAAACAGCTGGGAAAGAAATGGCATGTTTATATTAGATCTGTGTGGCAGCAGCAATATACAGTAAATAAATCCACTGCTTGTCTCCTCTGAGGCTGGGACTCTAAATAGTGTTCTGTGCTCGTCAGTGCAGCCAAAGACAGAACAGTTAGCATGCTTTGCCATGGTGTTAGAACTGGTACACCGTTGTCGCTTGCGAAAACACAATGGCAGGGCTGTGTGTGGAAACGTGCAGATTAAGGGGCGGTGATATTATAATAAGATCCCCTTTCTACGTCACGGTTGGAGTGAAATCTGAACGGCTCGTTATTTTTTCCACAAGCTTACAGAGAATTTTTATTTTAGAAATTTACTGGGTTGTTCTTTTTCACGTTTTCTGAGTTGGTAGATGCACCAGGGACACGATTATAGCACTTTCATGATATTTACAAAAAAAAAAAAGAAGAAAAAACACACAAAAACTAAATAAAAACAAGACGGCATGTATGAGTACCTGTCATTTGGTCTCCAGAAGACCGTCTCGAGGGGAATGACTTGTTGTCGTCCTTGCGTATCATCATAGATTTTCTTGGCAGCAGATGTAGTTTCAGTAACCACACAGTCCATGTCACCCAGAATATGCCAAGAGATCACCTTCGCTGCATCATCATCCTCCACCTGTGCCAGATGACCCACCTACAAATCATCACGCGCAAACATCACCACATCAACTAATATGTCTTTGGAAGAGTCCTCTGATTCTCATCATGTTTGGATGAACGTCCCCTTCATCCCCAGACCCCAGTTTGCCTAAACACCTAGAACACAAAACCCCAGATTTGTGTTGTTTGTTTGCTCCATGCAACTTTGGGGCATTTAAAAGTATTTACGTTTTTTTTTTTTTTTTTTTTTTTACTTTTCATAGTTTTGCAT